TATGCCAGAGGTCCCAAGTCTGGCTCCATATTCTGGCAAGGAGGTCTTGATAGTGGTGCCAAAGTGCTGCTTCCATGATGCGATCCTATTTGGGTATAAAGAATCAAAGACTCTTTGTGAGAGCCTCTATTTCTCAAAAAAGCCCTGGATGTGATCAGCAGTTGCTGCCCTAATGGCATATAGTGTGAGGCTAAGGAGGGCAGTGTCTTGCATCAGAAGCTAGTAGGCAATTTATGGCCATCGTGATGGTACAGAGACTAAGAGGCATGAAAAAAGTTGGTTAAACCTCAATAGTGAAGGACTCTCTTGGGGGTACTTAATGGGAGGGCCTGTATTGCAATTTTAAGATTTTAGAGCCTTTTGTTAGGTGGGACCCATTCAGGATGGACTGATATGCAGCTAACAATGTAAATGGACTTAAGTAAAATTTGTACATGAGGAATACATTACCTCCAAAACCCAAGAAGACACAAAAGATATTGGGCTTGTTTTAACACTGTAGGTGTTCAGAATCAATAGCTGTGTCTTGACAGTGTCAGGGATGGAGAAGCCAATGGCTAGCCAAATAATTTTAGGAACTTAATTGAGGTAGTTGGGCGTACTGTTATGTCTAAACAATGACCCATTTCCTTTCATTGACCTCCTTTGTGAGTGTCTGTACGTCCTGAATGTGTGTCAGATGAGTCTCCTCAGAGGAGGATGACTTCACTGTAATGTCCATACCTGTGTCCCTAAAGAGAGATGGATGCAGTTGATCTTGCCTAGAAAGATTGGTTGCACATGATGTCAAGGCTACTGAGGTGCTCCAAGTGTAGCCTGGTTAAGGTGTATCATGGCCCTAGGAATGAAGGCAAACTACAACTGAGAGGCTATTGAAACAGGCACTAAACACAACATATTAGCCAAATCGGTAACAGTGAAATATCGACTAGCTACTGCCTGGATGGTCAGTCATTTCAATATTATTGGGTTTGTGAGCCTTATTGGATGGGACCAGGGCACTGAAGTTGAGGTAATTCACCAAGAGATGCCATGCATATTTTTCTAGTTTAAGAACACGCTAAAGTTGGAAATGGAGTAGTGTGGGGAAGGGGGCATTGCCCTTCCTCTAAATAGGTCTTATAGAATGGGTTTCAATCCTTGAAGGCCCTTTGTAATTTACAGTGGACCACTGTGACAGGCAGAATAATGGCCCCCTACAGATGTCTACATCCTAATCCCCAGAAGCGTGAATATGCTATTTAGGTGGCAAAAGGGAATTTTGTAGCTGTGATTAAATTAAGATTTGAGATGGAAAGATGAACCTGGATTATCTGGATGGGCCCAATGTAATCTAATCACTAGACCTTTATAAGAGAGGGAGGTAAGAAGTCAGTCAGGAGAGATTTGAAGCCCTGGCTGCTGGTTTAGAAGGTGAGGGGAGGGGCCATGAGTAGAGCAATGTAGGCAGCCACCAGAAGATAGAAAAGGTAAGGAAAACGATTCTCTCCTAGAGCCTCCAGAGATGATGCAGTCCTTTCCGGGCATTGATTTTAGCTCAGTGAAGAACACTTAGGACTTCTAATGTCCAGAAGAGATAGTAAATTTGTATCATTTTAAGCCATTATGTTTGTAGTAATTTGTTACACTAATAGGAAACTAATACAGCAGTATTAACTGTCTTAACTGGAGGAGAAAATACATGTTTCTATTTTGCCAGGTCTTTACAAATGACAATTTAAATTTACTACTTATTGGTTCGGAACATCTATGCCCGTTATGGGCTATTTTAAGGCAGTGGATGCTATGACCACAAGGAATTAAAAAGATAATACTTTTGATGGCTAAGATGTGGCATACCATTTTGTCTTCTATTTTATGTTCAATAACTCTCCTAAAATTATATAAAGTACTTTGTTTTAATTTAGAGGGGACCCCAGGTAGTATGAGCCCTAGCATTAAGACTGTGAAAATTTGCCAGTTGGTGCACTCTGGCAGATGTAAAACTAATTCAGACCTATGTTGTAAAGGTGTAAAAATCAGTCAAAACTCTTTTTTGTTGTATAAACTTTTAGTAGATTTAGATTTCTAATTTGGTGAATACATGGACTTCTCTTTTAACTTTTTTGTTTCCTTCCCTCCTAATTGTTTTACTCCCCCCCCCCTTTTTTTTGTGCTACTGCTCCTGTTTATAAGTTTCTTCCTTTTTGAGAGTCCCAGATAAGAACTGTCAATGTTAGGGTCCTCCCCCATGTCAACAGTTGGAACTAATGAGGGTTTTTTCCCCCTATAACCTGGATCAGGAGCATTTTTAATGACACAGATATAGGCAGCAACAGCAAAACTGCTATACAGTCACAGCTCTCCTTCTACAGAAGCAGCCAGCTGTTGGGCTCCTGTGTTGCACAGGCTATTAGTCTTTCCCCTGAGCACTCATACAAGAGAAGCCAGTGTCTGCTTAAGACACAACTGATGGTAACAGGGTAAGTCTTTCCTTTGAGCTTGGCATCAGTCATAGCTAATGCCTTAAGACACATAATTCAATCTGAGACACACCAGTAAGTCCAGGCTGAAATATGTGACCAGGGTCACTTTAACGAGGGCCCAATCCCTTAGACAGGTTTCTCAATGTCAATTATAACTTTTAACTTTGGTTTGTTCTGTATATGACAGAGGCTCACAAGACCTGGCAAATGTAGCAAAGGGCTGCACAAGTCAAAGTGCAAGCATGCTAGAAGGTAGCACACCAAAGCAACAAAGTATCTCAGTGGTGGTGGTTACCTTCTACACATCCTGGTCACAGTGCCAATTAATTATCGTGGTCACTCTAGAGGCAGGACAGACCCCCACCCAAACTTTTATTTTTATGTCAAGACTGATGTTGCCACGCACACATTAAGGGAGTGTGAAGAGATTTATTAGTCATTAGGCTTTCAGTGGTGGGGGGCAGACAAGGTAGGTTCCCACCAGCTCCAAAGATTGCTTGGGAGTACAAGGGTGAGTGACTGGCTCTGGCTTTTATTGTGGTTATGGATGGGGTCAGGGTGAAAGTTTTGTGTGTGGGCCAGGGTAGACTCTGTTATAAATACATTCTTTGTTACTCCATTTACACAAAATTCTAGGAAATGCAAAACAATACATAGCGACAGAAAACAGCTCAGTGACTGCCTGATGGGAGAGGGAAGGATGAAGAGTAATGGGAAACAGGTATTACAAAGCGGCCTCCCAAAACTTTTGGGATTGATAGGTATATTCATGTTCTTGATTGTGGTGATGATTTCATTGATATACGGATGTTTGTACCACAATTTATTAACAGAGACAAAGACCTGACAGCATACTTTGTTGGTCAGACTGCAGGGTGACATACTCTGGTACATTGCAGTGGAAATAGATGATGGTACAGCAGCCCTCAAGAGGACAATCTGGCAGTTTCTAATAAAATTAAATGGAATGAATAGGTCATGGGAATAAAGGCACAGGATAGAGAATATAGTCAATGATACTGTAATAGCATATGGGGACAGCTGGTAGTCACACTTGTAGTGAACATATAGACTTGTTGAATCAATATGTTATACACCTGAAACTAACATTGTGTGTCAACTACGCTCAAATTAAAAATTTTTTAAAAACATGTAAAATATAACCAAACCTTAAAATGATTAAATACCTCAGACTTGTTAAGGATTTTAAAAAATAATGTAACAAAAACATATGTACCTATCACCATGATTAAGAAACAAAACACCAAAAAGAACAGTTGAAGACAAGAGTAGAAGGAATAGGGAATAAAACACAGTAACCATAAAAAATTTGACAAATTTGACTGCATTAAAAATTAAGGACTTGTGTTTCTCTGGATACCATGTAGAGTATTAAAAGTCAGAGAACCCAATGTTATCTGACTGACTCAAGCAGTCACTTTACAAATGATATATTTTTTTCCAATAAACACACGAAAAGGTGCTTATTAGTCATCAGAGAATGTCAATTAAAACCAAAATATGGGGGCACCTGGGTGGCTCAGTGGGTTAAGCCTCCGCCTTCAGCTCAGGTCATGATTTCAGGGTCCTGGGATGGAGCCCCGCATCGGGATCTGTGCTCAGCAGGGAGCCTGCTTCCCCCCTGCCCCTCTGCCTGCCTCTCTGACTAATTGTGAGCTCTCTCTGTCCAATAAATGAATAAGATCTTAAAAAAAGAAAACCCAAATTAGATATCACTATATATTTACCAGGATGACTTAAAAAGCCTGATTATACCAAATGTTAGGAAGGATGTGGCACAACTAGAAGCTGGAGGCACAGGCACACGCCGCACACACCCGCCCCCCCCCCCCCCCCCCCCCCCCCCCCCCCCCCCCCCCCGCCCCAGGCGCGGCAGAGGGATACAGGCGCCCTCCCAACAGCGGCTGCAGCACACACAAGCATCACGCTTACGCCATGGACCGCTCAGAGTCCCGAGGCTCCCACCCGGTCGCCCTGCCCAGGATGCGGGAAGCCCCCGCTTTTAGCGTCCTCTGGGTGCAGTCAGGAACGACACACCCTGCCCTGCGGATCTGACGGGCTTGTGCCCCAGAATCCTTAGCCCACAGAGGCTGAATTTTCCCGCCAACCCCAAAAGAAGCGCCCAAACCGCGGGGAACTGCGGGGTGCAGTGCCGGCCCAGTGACTCAGACACCGAGGCCGGTACCTACAGGCCCGCCAGCACTAAGCCTACTCTCAGATGCGGCAACCAAGCCGGGCCGCACAGTCCCAGATAGTTATGGTGGAAACGCCTTTCCAGGCCGGCCCACTCCCCGGGTCGCCAAGCGTTGCACGGCCTCTCACGCCAAAAGCACCAGGGAAACGTCGAGCAGAGCCGTAAAAGCAGAGAGATGGACGGGAGAGGAGCTCGGCTCGTGCGGCAGCGACTCCTGGGAAGTGTCGTGCAGAGCCGTAAAAGCGGCGTGATGGACGAGGGGCGGGGCCCTTCGGCCCGTGGGGCAGGGACTTCTGGGAAGTGCCGCGCAGAGCCGTAAAAGCAGCTGGTGAAGGAGAGAGACTCTAGGCTCGTGAGGCAGGGGCAGGGAAACGCGCGGTTTAAGAGCTGCTGGATCCCCAAGGTAGGTGGTCGTTCTGTTCTTCAGTGTCTGGCCGCGCGGGGGAGGGGATACGGCGGGGAGGGCCGTCGTAACTTCGCCTGCTCTCGCCTGCGGATTCCTGAGAGTTCGCCGAAGCTCCCAGTTGTCCGAGTTCACACAAAAGCGCACATGATTTAGGCGTTGTTGGTGGCGGTTAGTGTTTGGTGGAACGGAGACGTGGGAGTTGGGTGGGTAAAGGGGCGGCATGTGCCAGGTGGGGAGGGGACTAATTGTGTCCTGAGCTTGGGGCAGTAGGAATATGCCGTTCGGGTAGGATTGTGCTGAGGGAAGCTTCGGTGTGGTTCCGGTGAGACAGTGCTTGGGTGCTGGGTGAATAGGCATCTACGAGGGTACAGGGTGGGGTGCTGTGACTCTGAGGTGTGTCCTCTGGAAGAGGAGGTTTGTGAGTGAGTGAAAGCCGTAAACTGCTGACGTTCCTCTTTGATCAGTATTTCACATGTGGAGAGGCAGAAATAATTTAAAATAGATCCAAACAGATGTTTATTTTGGTATGTATGCAAGATCCGAATTTGTTTTTAGACAAGAAAGAATATTTGAAAAGAATATTTTGCTACTGGGTGCCTGTGTTTGCCTAATCTCTGAGGGAAGATGTTCACTCTCTTCTTTAGTGGATGGCTGGGGATTCGGGGGAATTGGCCCAAATTTGCCAGCTTTGGGCCAGAGTAAAGCAGTAAAGTTCACCAGGCAATGTCCTGAATTGCTCAGAATTGAGGAATGCGGCTAGTGTCAGACAGTGTTTGTGCTCATTTTCTGAAGAGAAAACATTTGGCTTAAAATAGAATTTAAGGCTGAATACAATTGGACATGGAGGCTGGACCAGTTTACTCTGATCAGAGATTGCTTAAAACGATTCTTTGAAGGTTTTGTTTCCATTTATTTCACCGTCATTCTTCATGTGATTATAAATAATAGGATCCAGTAGGATAGCTGGGGATAAAATTAAACTGATGGCATTATTAAAAGGATAGTTTAAGGATGTAATGGAAGTAAAGATCCCCTTTCCCACTATGCGATGGACACTAATAAAAATAGAAATAAACACCATGAAGTAAACAAGACCTATTTTAGAAGAAATATGAACACGCTAGAAAAATGTAAACCTTAAGTGGACAGACAATCTAATTGTAGATGGGGAGACTAAACATCAGCTTCCGTTCACAGGACCAAAAAATAAATAAGGGTCTAAAACAGCAAGCATAAAGTCGACTTTGTGCACGAATCTTGATTTTTAACACTCTGATAGCCATCTTCTGAAGCACATGTGAAACATTCACAAAACTAATAATACAGATTTCAAAGAAAAAAGTAATTTCCTTAAAGTAAAAATAAAACAGTATTCTTTTATCACAGTGGAGCAAAACTAGAAATTAGTTTTTTAAATGACATACACCTGGAATTTAAAAAGCTAACAAACTCGTTTAAAGAAAAAAATGCAAAGTGATATTGCAAATTTTAAAAAGAAAATTGATAAAGCACAAAATGTCAGAAACTACAATATACAATTAAAGCAATTAAATGAATTTTATAGCCTTAAAATTCTTTTTTTTTTTTTTTTTTTTAAAGATACTGTTTATTTGGCAGAGAAAAACACAGCAAGAGAGGAACAGAGGCAGGGGTAATGGGAGAGAGAGAAGCAGGCCTTCCGCCGAGCACGGAGCCTGATGCAGGGCTCAATCCCAGGATGCTGGGATCATGACCTGAGCTGATGGCAGATGCTTAACAACTGAGCCACCCAGGTGTCCCTATAGCCTTAAATTATTAAAACAATAAGAGAATTAAATAGTCAACTAAGAAGAAAAAAACTAACAAGTCAAAACAAAGCAGAAGGGAATAAATTATAAAAGTAAATTCCAAAATTAATAAAACTTAAGAGTAATGAAAACTATATAAGGAATAAGTAAATAAATCAAGTGCAATAAAAACCCAAGTAGTCAAGCCACTCACTGCAAATCAAGAAAAAAATGAAAAAATGAAGAGAAATATAAAAAGTGACTAGGCAAAATAACTGTGGAAGAGGGAATTTTAACAGTAGACTGTTTTCACAATTCTTTATTTGAAAAAAAAGAAAAAAAAGGATTTATTTCTTTAATTGAGGCAGGGAGGGGAGAGAGAGTCTCAGACAGACCCTGTGCCGATCTGACATGGGGCTCAGTCCCATGACCCTAAGCTCATGACCTGAGCTGAAATCAAGAATTGGAAGTTTAACCAACTCTTAACCCAGCCACCCCTATTTTCACAATTCTATGTAAAATAATAAGAGAATAAAAATAATTAAAAGAAAGCTTTGATAAATTAATAGATTCCTATGAAAATACATTTATTAAAAGTGACAAGTTATAATAAAAGCATAAATTTATAAACAAATTTTATTAGAGGAAAAGAAGAAATTTTACTTTCTCACAAAACAGCATCAGTCATAGAAAGTTTCACAGAAGAATTCTACCAAAAAGATGGAAAGTTTCAAGTTAGTAAATGGAACTTGTATAACATTTGGACCCAAACCTGAAGGAAAGTGTACAAAAAAACTGGACAAATCTTAGTAATTAGTATTGATTAAAATTTTTTAAATATTAGCAGAAGCAAATAACATATTAAAAATAAAACCTCACCAGGTTGAATTTATCAAAAAATGCCAGTATTTGGAATTGTCAGTATAACTAATCATAGATATAGATCTACGGGAAAAATCATAAAATTTCTCCCCTAGGCACTTGAAAAGATCTTTTACAAAATCCAACATGCTTTCTTTTTTGGGGGCTTGCACTCATGACCCGGTGATCAAGACCTGAGCTGAGATCCAGAAAGTCTGATATTTAACCAACAGAGCCACCAGGTGCCTCTCAATGCCCATTTATAACTCAAAAGAAAAAAAAAAATTAAAAAATAAATCACTGTAATAGGAATTGATGTATCCCAGAACTAAAACAAGTTTCTTCCTTAATATGTAAAACAATAGAAACATTTTCTTAAGTTCAGAATCAAAGCAAGTATATTAACTTTTTACTGCTGGCATTAGCCAATAAAATCAGTAAGAAGATAATGAGAGTTGTGTAAATTTAAAAAATGAAACTATTTGCAGAAGAAATAAAATACATCTAGAAAGCTCAGTAGTCAATAATTTAAAAAATTACTTAATAATGCATTGGGATTTTAAATGAATACACAATAGCCTTCATTTAAAAAAAGTTATGACAATAAGAAAAATCTCAACATAATTTTTTTTTTTAAAGATTTTATTTATTTGTCAGAGAGAGAGAGAGTGAGAGTGAGCACAGGCAGATAGAGTGGCAGGCAGAGGCAGAGGGAGAAGCAGGCTCCCTGCTGAGCAAGGAGCCCGATGTGGGACTCGATCCCAGGACTCTGGGATCATGACCTGAGCTGAAGGCAGCCGCTTAACCAACTGAGCCACCCAGGCGTCCCAAGAAAAATCTCAACATAATTTTTAAAGAAGATAAAATACTTAGGAGTAGAATGTGAAAGCTGAAAGAAGAAAATTTTATACTAGTCACCAAATAGACTTGGTCAAATGCTGTCATAAAAATATAAGTTCTTTCTAAGTTGATACAGAACTTTAAGATAATTCCCCAAACAAACAAACAAGGTTTCATGCCAAAGATAAAAGCTGAATTTGCAAAAAAAAAAAAAAAAATTAACAAAAGCCAGCAGATCTTGAAGATGACTGGCCGTGAAGGAGGTTTTGCTAACATACTCTAGATCCTAGATAATTGTAACATCGTAGAGTTAGAGCATGAATAGACAGAAAAAGGGAATAAAGTATAAGATCTAGAAATGGACTAAAGTATATTTGGATAATGTATACTAAATATGGCATACAAAATCACTAAGGAAAAGAGGAATTCTTTAATAAATGTCATTGTGACAGTGAGATAGCCATTTGGATAAAAGATAAAATTGAGTCCATACTTTATAATATAAACCAAAACAAATTCCAGATATGTTAAGAAATCTAAATAGAAGAAACAAAACCACACAGTTTCTAGAAGAAAAAGAATTCCTTTATAACTTGGGTATGGGTAAGGACTTCCTAGTTATTACTCAAACCAAAAGCAGTAAGCGAAGTGATTAAGAACTTTGCATTAAAAAATATGGGGTAGGGGCACCCGCATGGTTCAGTCAAGCGTCTGCCTTCACCTCAGGTCATGATTCTGGGGTCCCGGGATTAAGCCCAGCATCCAGCTCTCCACTTAGTGGAGCATGTTGCTTTTTCCTCTCCACCCTGAGCCCCCTTCCCTCGTGTATGTTTTCTCTCTCTCTCTCTCTCTCTCTCTCTCTCAAATCAACAAAATCTTAAAAAAATAAGAAATGCAACTGATTTAAAAATAATGGTATGGCAAAAACATAAGCAGGACAAGACAGATAATGCATTTGGGATAATATTTGCAATTTACCTCACAGATAAAGAGCTAACTCACTAATATATAAAAAGCTTCTTAAAGTTTTTATTTTTTAGTTCAAGTATAATTAACATAATGTTATATTAGTTTCAGGTGTTTGATACAGTTATTCAGCAATTCTGTATATTATACTCAGTGCTCATTATAAGTGTACTCTTTCTCTTTTTTTTAAAAGATTTTATTTATTTGTCAGAGAGAGAGGGAGAGAGAGAGAGCGAGCACAGACAGACAGAGTGGCAGGCAGAGGGAGAAGCAGGCTCCCTGCAGAGCAAGGAGCCTGATGTGGGACTCGATCCCAGGCCGCTGGGATCATGACCTGAGCTGAAGGCAGCCGCCCAACCAACTGAGCCACCCAGGTGTCCCTATAAGTGTACTCTTAATCCCCTTCACCTGTTTCACCCATCCCTCCACACCCCTGCCCCCCGGCCCTGGCAACCACCAGTTCTTTATATTTGAGTCTTTTTCTTTATCTCTTCTTTATTTCTTAAATTCACATAGCAAAGTCGTGTAGCTTATGTCTTATCTCTGACTGTATTTCACTTAGCT